CCCGATGGGAAGTCGGGTCTCTTCATTTGCGCGTCGCTCCATGATTGGAAGTTCCTGGCACAGATGCGCGAGGTGGATGAATTGCAGTCCTGTCTGTGAGCGTGTGGGTTTATAAAGCTGCGCTATGATGAATCCAATGACCCGATTCCCGCTTACGGCCACCATCATCAGCGGCGATAATCTGAACCGGTCCTGGATCTCCAGAGGTCGGCTTTAAATGAGTATCTGGTGCAATGTGAACACATCGCAACTCGAGTGACAAAGGCGGCCGAGGATGGTCCCGGCCACCCACACAGAACATGTGTGAAACATAGACATCACGCGTGAAACACGTGCAGATCATTCGGAAAGCCGGCAAATATCTTGTTTGATATCACATATGGATCGTGCGTAGAACGCATACCGATCATACATAAGAAACAAACACCCAGGTAATGTATGAAACACACTCATATGCTGTTGTAGGATACGTTGGTTCAGCAGGCGTATAGGGTGATTGATTACAATGTTAGTTTTTTTTCAATGGCGATAAAGAATCTTGTTCATTCATTTGCTGTCCACCTGTACACTCATTCATTCATGCGCTATCATATTCATCTGTGCATCTGTCAATCCACAAGGTACCTACTATAACAGCAGTGCATACTGTGGTGGTACATTGTTTCACAACAGCAGTTCATACTGAATGCGGTGGTACCTGCTATGATTACAGCAGTGATACTGACTGTGGTGGTAGCTGGTATGATTACAGCAGTGCATACAGTGGCAGTACCTGCTTTAACTACAGCGGTGCATACTGTGGTGTAACCTGCTATGATTACAGCTGGGCAAGCGACAGTGGTGGTACCTGGTATGAATAAAGCAGTGCATACCGACTTTGGTGGTACCTGCTTTTACTGCAGCTGTGTATACTGTGGTGGTACCTGATATTATTACAGCGGTGTATACTGACTGTAGTGGTACCTGGTATGATTACAGCAGTGTATACTGACTGTGGTGGTACCTGGTTTCACTACAGCAGTGTATAGTGACTGTGGTTACCTGCTAGCACTACAGTAGTACATGCTGACTGTATAGCAGTATAGATCGAATCTATAGCACAAAGTAGTAAGCAGACAGAGTGCCGAAGTGAGGCCTAGTCCCGTGCAGAGCCCCCAGCCTCGCCTAGATTTCCCAGCCGGCCGAGGTGCGACCTTGGCAGGCTGGGGGCTGGCCGCTCCCCCTGGCCGCGCTAAAATAATGGCATGTAAGCGCTAGAAGAATATGTAGGGGCTCTATAGTAGTTTCAGGACGCATTGGGGTATCATTGGGGTGGTGTGGGGTGAAGAGGACATCGCACTGTGAATAATTTACGTGTTCCGTGTGTTTTTGCTGCATGTTTGAGGCGAATTAAAATTCGTGCCGATCGTGTGCGTTGCTAGGGGCAACCCATGTGAGCAGTGCCAAGTGTAATTACACAAATGCTTATAGTACTAATGTGTGCGACTTACGTCTTGTATAAATGCACATAATACAAAAGTGTGCGCCTGACCTTTGGCGACGGCGAGTGTGGATTGCTGCTGGGGGGTCACCTCGTGCGCGTTGTGCGCAAGTGCAGCTGGCTGCGTTGTCAGCCCGCGCGCGGCGAAGGGAAATCAATAAATAATCGCGAAACTAAACATTTCAATAAAGAAAAATCGGCAAAAGACGCGAATTTACTAATTTTAAGGTGACGGGCGTGAAAAAGGAATCGCCTATGCCAAGCACGGGGCTTCCGGCGTGGTACCTGGTTAATTTTTGTTTACGCCAGGGGTGTCCAAACTTTTTGCAAAGAGGGCCAAATTTCATAAAGTGAAGATGCCCGGGGGCCAATAGTTCCTTCTGACATTTTTTTACCACAAAAGTTACATGAAAACACACACTGTTATAAAAAAAATTCATTGTCACAATTACCTTAATTTTTCAAATGACAATGCAACCAAATATAAGCCACTCAGGCAGACGTGAACAACTCTAAAAACGCAATTCTGCCTTTCATTCAGTCAGATAACATTGAACAAACTGTATAGCATACCTTGAGTTAAATATCTTAGCCTCATGAACATTTTAAACAGGAGTTATAAGTAATGCAAAGTGGTCTGTTATCATTAAACTTTAAAACAAGTGAATTTTGCCCTTGTCTTTTACAAGATCTTTCAGAAAGAGTTTGTGTCACATCTACAGGTAGATAACATCAACAGTTATAACCAAATCTTATTCAAGAGTTTAATAAAACAAGTGCCATAAGTCCAAGTGCATTAGTGTGCTTTAGGCTTTTCACTGTTAATAGTGACAGATGTTCCCGTTCAAAACACTAAATTTCAGATTGATCAAGGAACAGCCACCTCACATCGTTGTGATGTATTACGTCACCGTAGAAGTTATTCAAGAGCCAGATAGCATTAGAATGGTGCTGCCACCGTGTGGTGAAAAGAGGAATTTATTTATTCTGACAGAGCTAGCGAGCCATAAATTACACATTATAAATTACACATTATAAATTACACATTATAAATTGCACATTATAAGACCGAAGCTGCGGGCCGTATGAAATCTGACCGCGGGCCGGACTTTGGACATGCCTGGTTTACGCGAACCCCACCGTTTGAGAGCCAAATCCCTCGCAAGCGCGTCAACACTCACAGACAGACAGAGACACAAAATGACATTTATATAGGTAAAAAACAGATTATACGTGTCTGCTACGAAGAGGGTGGGAGGATGAGGTGAGGAGAACGAGGTGAGGGGTGAGGACGAGGTGAGGAGGACGAAGTGAGGAGTGAAGATAACGAGCAGATGGGTGAGGAGGACGAGGGGTGACGAGGCGAGGTCAGTAAGGGAGGTGCCCGTCTCAGGAGTGTTATATTTGTCGCTTATGCTCGATGTTTGATTTGTGACAAACATTGAACAAAATACTTCATACATCTGGAATAATCGTCAATTATTCGTGTCTGCTACATCTATCTGCACGCGTGCGCGTATTTATCCCAGAGGGATCTCACACGCCGTCTTGTCGGGATCCGTTGCTATTCCGGAATCGCCCACGATGTGACCCATATATCGCACAGGGGTTTGCAACAGGTGGCATTTCGCAGGTTTCAACTTAAGGTATGCCGACCGTATCCTCAACAACACGGAATGCAACCGTTGCAAATGTTCCTCGAAAGTGCGGCCAAACACAATAATATCGTCAAGGTAAATGAGACGTGAGTCCCATTGCAACCCCACTAGGACTAGTTCAATCAACCTCTGGAAGGTGGCCGGGGCTAAGTGTAAGCCCATGGGAAGGCAGTTGAAATGGTACAATCCTTGAGGTGTTCTAAATGCCGTTTTTGGTTTGGATGACTCATCCAGGGGAAGTTGTCAAAATCCCAACAAAAGGTCTAAGGTGGAAAAAAATCTGGCCCCCGATAGCGCATCCAACGAGTCGTCCATTCGGGGGAGTGGGTACGCATCTGCGACTGACACTTTATTCAACTTGCGGAAGTCTACGCAGAACCGCACCATGCCATCAGCCTTTTTTACCAACACCACGGGAGCGGCCCAAGGGCTGGTCGAGGGGGAAATAATATCTGCCGCCAGCATTTCCTCCACCACCAGTTGCACGCTTTCCTTTTCCCCCGGGCTTAACCTATACAAATTCTGTCGAATAGGAGCAGCCGTTCCCGTGTTAATATGGTGTTGCAGAAGGGAAGTGCGCCCAATATCAAACTTCCTCTTACTGAACACCTCCGAATATTCCCGTAGGAGGGATCGCAACTCAGCCCGCTGCTCCATGGACAACTTAGGGTTTTCCCAACACAGCTTTTCTATCCATGCTTCATCCTCTCCCCCTGTCTGCACCAATCCGCCTATCACGGCCTCCCCCTGTGGCCCTGAGGGAATCTCTCCCCGTCAACGTCGCATGGGCTAACACCGTTCCCGCCTGAATCACCACCGGCTCCACCCCAACATTGAGGACTTTTAGGGGAAGTGAAGTGCCACTATCCCTACCCCACACCCCCCTCTCTATCTCTCCTCCCTGGCTCCTCCCCACTCTCTTACCTATATAGCCTCTTGTCACAGCAGCCCTTTTGCCCACTTCAGCAATTGTTCGTTGCTGTAGTTGTCCCACCTGATGACGGACGCTTGTGTTGCGCACGAAATGTCATGATTTAATTTCTTTTATTTTATACCGATGTAGAGGTGTAATTGCGCATGTCTACGAATGTTGAGGTGTGATTATGCATGGCCACGGATGGCCAACAAACACAAGGGGCGGGGTTACGGCCGTACACAAGGGTGGCGCTCGCACCGACGTCCGCATGTGTATCCCCCACGGGCCCCCCCCCTTGGGGGCAAGTCCTATAAAAGGTGATGAGCCGAAAGGCTCGGGAGTCGGGACTCAGCTATAACCAGAGAAGACGGAAGACCAGCTAGTGTAGGCCCCAGAGCTCCCCTGGCTCGCTGTCCTTATAAGGGCCGACCAGGGCAAGCCGGTGGCGTGGCCCCGAGAGCCCAGACGAAGCTGGTCTGGTGACTCAGGGAGCCGGGATCCCAGCTTAACCAAGCTGGGTCAGATAGCCTCCCCTAGTCCCGTAGTGGAGGAATTGGTATAAGTTAGAGGGGTTAGCTGTCGAGAAATCCCTGTAGCCCAGTGACCTGTAATTAACTGTGTTGGTGTAATAAATAAGTGTGCCTCCGATCCTGTCGTCAAGCCTCCATATACGTACTACATCTGGTGTCAGAAGTAAAACGTCCAAACGATGGACACACGAGGGACGACACGTACCAAGGAGTCGGAGATGGAAGACGCCGCGGCCGATTCAACACCAGAGATGGCCGGGGTCGGATCGGAGCAGCCGGGGCCAAGTACGCCCGTGCCGCTACGACAAGAGGGGGGGGATGCGTCGGCTGAAGGACTCCGGCTGGCCCACTCCCGCCTGGCGGAACTGCTTTACGCCGCCGCCGCTGCGTTGGAGGAGATCACGCGGCTGGGGGCTGGAGGGGCAGCGCGGGTCGACGACAGCAGCCGGCGCGCGGCAACGTTTCCCGCCACCCCGACGCGGCTGGCGGTTAAATTTCCCGCCATCTCTACAGTGCGAGCGGACGGCGGGGCCGGCCCGCGTCACGTGACTGCTGAGCGCCAAGCACAAGCCGTGACATCATCAACACCGGCCGGCGCGTCGACATCGGAGCGACCGGCGATGCCATGTGCACAGCCCGCCCACACTGTATCATCGGCGGGGAGCGACGGAGAGCGATCTACAGCCACGGACGTCGCCTTGCAGCAGCGTCTGCCACCTCTGAAAGAATTCGTAGGCGCAGACGGAGACTGGGGCGGCTTCAAGAGACGGTTCATCGCTCATCAGGAGATGGCGAACTGGACGGACGCCGAGGCTCTACGCGCGCTGCCAGCGATGCTGGACAACGACGCCCTGGCTACCCTCACCTCGGCGCCGAGGGAAAAGCGCGCCACCCTACACCTGGCGTTGCAGCTGCTGTCAGCCGTCTATGGGCCGCCTTCGGACTGCAGGCAGCTTTTCCACGATCGGCGTCGGGGCACCAACGAATCACCTCTGGCCTTCCGGACTGCTCTCCTGGCTCTAGCGAAGGCTGCTTTCCCAAGGATGGACGAGGAAGGAGTGGATGCCATGGTGGCTGAGAAGCTGCTGCTACTCGCTGATGAGCTGGACGTCAACGTCCTGGCTCAAGACGACTCAGAGATGTCGTCCCTGCTGGTCGCGCGCCACATCCACGGGGGCTTGCGGTCCCTTCGTCGAAAGGCGGCAAAGGGGGCGGCCAGCCATGCCATGGCGGCTACCGCCCTCCCATCGGAGGAGGTCTGCGGGGTGGAGCGGCGAGGGGAATGGAGAGCGGCAGTACCACAGGCTCGGAATGGACCGAGCCGCCAGGAGCAGCCCAGGACATCGGGGGCGCTCACACGCTGCTACAACTGTGGCCTGCAAGGCCACGTTGCGTCAGGATGCCGGGCTCCCCGTCAGCGCGGGGCGACACCTCGTCAGGACGCCACGCCGTCTCCTCCCAAGCTCCAGCAGAGAAATACGGCGAGTCGCGGCACCTCACACGTTTGGCCCACGCACACATCTGACACACACTCACGCGCCCAACTAAACAGGGCTCCAAATTCCCCATCCGTCGCGCGCGATCGTTCGGTAATGCGGCGGGCGCTCCAACCGGGTCAGTGGTCGGAGCTCGCCCATCGTGTCGTTGCTGCGTCGGCGGGATCATCGGTCGTGGTCGGTCACATTGATGGGGTAGAGGTGCGGATTTTAATTGACACAGGGGCATCGGCGACCATTATATCTGATTTAATTTATAACATCCTTCCCGTTCAAAGTCGTCCCTTGCTCCCTGTTGACGTGCCGTGCTATGCCGCTAACGGGGGCTCTCTGGGCATTATTGGCCAAATCCGCGCCACTATCTGCATTGGGGACATTAAATTATCCGGGCCTGTTTTGGTATCCTCCTCACTCGCGGTTCCGTGCCTGTTGGGGACGGATTTTCTGGCCAAAATGCCCATCCGCATCCTTATTGACCAAGGGTGCATTGAGCTCCCATCGGGCCGACGCGTTACATTTCTGTCTTCCCCCACCACGGAGCGTCGGGCGTTTGCCACCGTGCAGGCGCTCGTCACAAAAACTGTGCGCGTGCCTCCGGGGGCTCAGATGCTCGTCCCTCTTAGATTGCGTCGGCCGTTTAATGAAGGGGTTGCGGATCGGGGGGTCTTGTTGGGACCATCTCGGGCCGGGGTAAATGGACCAGATTTGCTCGCGGCTCAGACCATGGTGAGAGGGGATGGGGACCCCTTCATTGCAGTCCTTAATGTGGGATCGCGAACGGCCGTGGTTCCTCAAGGGACCGTGCTTGCACACGCAACGCCGGTACCCTATGAGGAACCACTCGTGGGTCAGGTATCCACCGATCCTCCGTCGCGACCGCATTCGGACTGTGATGACGGTTGGCTGGATGCGCTTTGCGCGGGTTCAGTGGACCTGTCCGACTCGCAGCGCGCGCAGCTGCGAGTTCTTCTGAGCGAATTTGCTGACGTTTTTAGTCAACACAAATTTGATATTGGTTGTACTAAATTGCTGCGACACCATATTGACACGGGTGACAGCGCGCCAATCCGCCAAAATCCCTTTCGGTTGAGTCCCGCCGAAAAGGATCATGTCAAATCGGCTGTTGATGACATGCTAGCCGCCGATATCATTTCCCCTTCCAATAGCCCGTGGGGCGCGCCGATCGTTTTGGTGAAAAAACACGACGGCTCACTGCGGTTTTGTGTCGACTTTCGGCGTCTGAACAAAATCTCTGTGGCAGATGCGTACCCGCTTCCTCGAATGGATGAGTCGCTCGATGCCTTGGCGGGGGCGCGATTCTTTTCCACCCTCGATTTGCTATCTGGATTCTGGCAGCTTCCTCTGGATGACGAATCAAAACCTAAGACTGCTTTTCGGACACCGCAGGGTCTCTTCCAATTTAACCGCTTGCCGATGGGTTTACATTCTGCGCCGGCAACTTTTCAGCGGTTAATGGAATTGGTCTTGGCAGGGTTGCAATGGGATTCGTGTTTGATTTACTTAGACGATGTCATCGTCTTTAGCAAATCCTTCGAGGAACACCTCCAGAGGTTGCGTGCTGTTTTTCTCAAAATGCGGGCTGCCAATTTGAAATTTAAACCACAGAAGTGCCATTTACTCCGCGAATCGGTGCGATATTTGGGTCACATTGTTGGGCGCTCGGGGATATCCACTGATCCCGCCAAAACGGAATGCGTCAGCTCCTGGCCGACTCCCACCTCTGTGGGAGAGGTCAGGAGTTTCATTGGGTTCGCGGTCGTATTATCGGCGATTTGTGGCTGACTTCGCTACGATTGCGAAACCTTTGCATGCCTTGACGTCCAAGGGAGTCAGGTTTCATTGGGGGCCGGAGGAGGAGGCTTCTTTTCGCGCCCTCCGGAATGCTTTGGTGGGGGCGCCGCCGTTGAATTACCCGGATTTTTCACAACCCTTCTTGCTCGATACAGATGCAAGTAACACGGGCATCGGGGGCGTGCTGTCCCAGCTCATTGGGGGCGTAGAGCATGTGGTGGCTTACGGTAGTCGGGTACTGTCTCCAGCCGAACAGCGGTACTGCGTTACCCGTCGGGAATTATTGGCGATTGTTTATTTCATTCAGCAGTACCGCCCGTATCTGTACGGTCGGCGGTTCACCGTCCGTACAGATCATGCGGCCCTACAATACGCCCTGCGGGTTCAACAACCATCGGGCCAGTTGTCTCGATGGTTGGAGATTCTCCAAGACTATGACTTTGTCACCACATATCGTAAGGGTCTCCGCCACACGAACGCTGACGCCCTGTCGCGATTGCCACCCACTTCGGAGTGCGCGTGCCTCTTGGGTTCGGGGCGTTGTAGGTCTCCGAACGTCACCACCGACTCAGTCCTCGTGGCCGCTGCCGATGCACCTTCGGTTTCGGGTCCTATCGAGCAAGAAGGGAGGGATTCGTTGCTGGGGTTGTCAGTCGCGGAATGGGGTCGCCTCCAAATGGAGGACACCTCCCTCCTCGCTCTGCGCCGTCGCGCCGGGGGGATTGGCCAGGGGGTGGAAAACGTTGACTCGTGGGGGTTGTTCCAGGGACTTTTAATGCACTGGAATGGTAAAACCCGGCGCCAGCGGCTCGTGGTGCCTGCTGCTTTAAGGGGTAAGGTGGTATGGGCTGTTCATGAGCGGCTTCTGCACTTGGGGGTTCATAAGACCTTTGCCACGCTCCAGCTAGATTTCTTCTGGCCGGGCATGGAAAAGGACGTGGGGGACCTCTTGGGGTCGTGCACGCAATGCGCGCAGAGGAAGCCACCTGCTAGGGGGTCCAACCCTCCGCTGCAGTCCATAAAAGTTTCCAGGGTTAACGAGCTCGTCGCTCTGGACATACTTGGCCCATTTCCCGCTACACCCAGGGGCAATAGGTATTTACTAACGGGGGTTGAATACTTCACGAGATGGCCTATGGCCTGGCCCCTGGCGAACCAATCGGCAGCAGCCATCGCGGAGGCCTTTGTCCAGGGCTATGTCCTCGACAAGGGTGCTCCGGAACGGCTGCTTACTGACCAGGGTAGGAATTTTTCTGGTAAACTCCTACGTGAGGTGTGCGACCTCTTGGGTACGGAGAAGGTTCGGACCTCTCCGTATCACCCACAAACTGACGGGATGGTGGAACGGCTGCATCGGACCATCACGTCCATGCTGTCCCAGCAGGTGTCGGTATCCCAGACGGATTGGGACCTCCGCATAGCCGGTGTGTTGCAGGCCTACAGAATGGCTCCCCATGCGGCCACCGGATTTTCCCCTTTCTTTTTAATGTATGGGCGCGAAGTTAACCCTCCTGTGGCGACCCAGCTGAAGCTCTCGGCGCTCCAGGCGAAGTCTAAGTTGTCCGAACACGTTAAATTTAACATCGCTCAATTGTCTGAGGCGCGGGAAGCGGCCGTGCAAAATTCTGAACTCCGCCAGAAGGCGAACGAGAGGCTTCGGTTGGGGCGGGTGCAGGTGGTCAAATGGGTACCAGGGGACAGGGCGTGGTTGCACTGTCCTCAGGTGCCGCTGGCAACCTCGTCGAAATTGGTACGGCCGTGGCGGGGGCCAGTGGAGGTCGTGCAGGTTTTGCGGCCGCAATGTGTTCGCGTCAAATGGGGGAGGCGCCGGTGGTATGTGCACCCCTCAAGGTTAAAACCATTCGTCACGCCGCCCCGGGGTTCACACACACACACGCATGGCCAAACGTGTGAGGGTGTCGCCGACTCCCCGTCGTCGCTGCACTCGCCTAACCTGACGCCAACTGTTCCGCCCCCAGGTGAAACAGGAGTGACGGGCCCACGCCCACCAACCCCTCCCGGAGGGGTCGGGGGTCACTCGGCAGCGGAGCCTGACCCTCTTGCACCCGGACCGTCAACAACCGTCACTGAGCGTGCCGGGACGGGCCCTTGTGACGGACCCGCCGCGAGAACGCGCGCCAAAACGCGCAGACTTTTGTGAGGTCGGCCGTTGGGGGGCCTTGCGGACGATGGGAAAGGTGACGTCCGGAGTGTATATATATGTTGGTTTTGGGGTGTTATCCGGGGGGGGGGTGCGTCGGGTTATATTTTTTTTCTCTCTCTCTCTCTTCCTCTCGTTGTTCTTGTTCTTGTTAAAAATTACGCGAGGCACACACGGGGTTTTTGTGAGGGATGCACCTTTATTCTGATTTTATTTTTTTGCAGCCGGGGACGGCTGCGAGCTGTACAGGGGGGGGTGATGTAGAGGTGTAATTGCGCATGTCTACGAATGTTGAGGTGTGATTATGCATGGCCACGGATGGCCAACAAACACAAGGGGCGGGGTTACGGCCGTACACAAGGGTGGCGCTCGCACCGACGTCCGCATGTGTATCCCCCACGGGCCCCCCCCCTTGGGGGCAAGTCCTATAAAAGGTGATGAGCCGAAAGGCTCGGGAGTCGGGACTCAGCTATAACCAGAGAAGACGGAAGACCAGCTAGTGTAGGCCCCAGAGCTCCCCTGGCTCGCTGTCCTTATAAGGGCCGACCAGGGCAAGCCGGTGGCGTGGCCCCGAGAGCCCAGACGAAGCTGGTCTGGTGACTCAGGGAGCCGGGATCCCAGCTTAACCAAGCTGGGACAGATAGCCTCCCCTAGTCCCGTAGTGGAGGAATTGGTATAAGTTAGAGGGGTTAGCTGTCGAGAAATCCCTGTAGCCCAGTGACCTGTAATTAACTGTGTTGGTGTAATAAATAAGTGTGCCTCCGATCCTGTCGTCAAGCCTCCATATACGTACTACACCTACGTGACTTTACCGAAAGAACCGAAGAGTATGGATCCCTGCAGTCACGAAAACTTCAAATCGAGATTTAACACACACATCGACTGACACAGACATATCAACTCATGCACACACACATCGACTCGCACACACATCGACTGAGACACACACACATGGACTCACACGCAGACAAGAACTTAGACACAATAATAAATATATTAATACTGACCAAGTAAATTTTGAAAGATTAGTTTTCAGCACACAAACAAAAATATTTTTAGATTTCCAGGGTGATATTATCACAACCCACCCCCACCAGCACCTCCCCTTCTTCCTTACAGGGCGTCGCGGTTTAATAAACACATTCCTGTGGAGCTGGTAGGAACGTTGGGTTGCTCGGTCAATGGCCAGGGTCAATGGCGGCGTGATGTATTCCGCAAATATGGCCAACTGAGGGCGGGCACAAGCCGGCGTGAGTAGGTTAAACGTTGAGTTTTATAAGGGCACCACGGGGTGACCAGCCCCTCTCCACCCAGCCCCACCCCTCCCATTTTTTGATGCACGACGGACGGACACAATAATCCCTTGTGGGCTGGTGTAACCAGGAGTTTCCTACCAGTACAAGCTTTACTACCCGGCTTCGCCCGACACTTGGATTCTTGTCTTGGATTAATACACGGCCTACGCGGAGGGTTGGGGGGCGGGGATGCGTGACGTCAGCAGGCACACTGTGCAACCCTTCCGCGTGTGGGTGACATCACAAATGTGACGTTACCGCTGACTTGCCGTGCAAAATATATCCATTATTTCGCCCACCGCCCCCGCAAAAAAAAATACAAAAATCGAATTTCTTTTGCATTGTGTAGAGTTGGGAAGCTACCCACATGCCAAATTTCAAGTTTTGCATGTTGGGAAGTATGCTAAACATTTCGAACAGACACACGTATTCACAAATTTCCCTTTAATATATATGTAGAGGTGTTACGTAACGGGGAGAAACGGGCAGTTACACTGGGGTGTCTACATCCACGTCCGCAAACGGTTACCACCCTGGGGGGCTGTGTGGGGGGGGGGGAGGCTGGGATCCCACACAGCCCCACCCCTCGAGGGCATGTTGGTATATAAGACGGAGAGCGAGAGAGCTCGAGGCAGTCGTTGGGTACAGATCAAGATGAAGAGCCAGTGAAGACTGAAGGCCAGCTAGCTAGACCTGGAACTACCCTGACTCGCTGTTCTTGTAAGGGCCGAGCAGGGCAAGCCAGTGGGCGACCTCAGAGCAGCGAGGTCTGATGTCCTTGTAAGGGCCGGACTCATGTGATTGAGGGTTGGAACCTGCGCCGAAGCTGGGCCAGGTTAACTAGCCTACATTGAGGAAGGGTCTGGGATAGAGGGAGTAAGGAGTTAACGGGGAGCGTTAGCTGGGGAACACTTCCTCTAATAGACCGGGTGAAGAGGCCGAAACCTCTTCGAGTGTTAGAGTTGTTACTCTGCTGTATAAAATTTTATTGTAATAAATACGTGTTGCCTCCATCAACTTCTCCTGCGTCACATACGCCCGTTACATATAGATTATCACCACCCACCCCCACCAGCACCTCCCCTTCTTCCTTACAGGCGTTGCGTTTTAATAATAAAGGTTTATATTTAGTATTATCGCCTCGTCTCAATGCTTTTGAGTGTCTAGGACACACACATTTCCCACGCTAAGGGCTAAGTCCACAGTGTGGCTGTTGCGTAGCTTCTAGAAACCACATGTGAGGCAGAGTTGTGTGTTCCTTGGGAAATGCCAGCCCTCCAAGGGGTTTGCACAGCTTGAGTAGGGGGCGACAAGCACAAGGTTGTGGAGGTGGTGATGGTGGTTGCAATTTAGGACGGCGAGGAGGAGGAGATGTCCATGAATAAACTATTTGGCCACAGTGGAACCAGGAACCATCATCGTTCCTACGTCCCCTGATGTGAGCGGCGGCGCTGGAGAGCGGTTCCACGATCTCAGGCAAACGTGGATACTCATTCCCATAATCGAACAGTTACTTCACCTTGGACAAAGTATTTCAACCAAGAGATTTAGATCGAATTAATTTATAAAGCAATAATTACCTTCATAATGATATCCCATATAAATATATAAAATTAGGATGATGCTGAAAGTGTGATGTTTGCCTAATATGTTGAACTGCCCTACATGTAGTGCCAAACACTGACGCTCTGAAAAATATTTCTGGAGCGAATCTGTAGCCCTATCCCTAACTCAAAGCCTGAACAGACTATGGAGCATGACAATTCAATGTCCGATTCACAAATTCAAAGGAGGCATCATCACAGCGATGCACCACCCCTCTACTCCTGACGTAATTATCTGGCTCAACCACCTCAATGCAATATAGTTTTTGCTCTACATCAATGTCAGCCAAACGAAGACCATGACTCCAACCCGTTGGTCCCCTTGTGCAAATTCAAATGTCCACCTGTCCTCCTGTCCTAGTTTTATTGAGGTCGCATTGCTCAAGACAATGCTTTTCCATGTGGTTCTCCCCTCTTCGGGTTTTGAGAGATTCCTCTTCCCATGATCTTCCCAGGTTGTGTACGTCAGAGGTGGCGATCCTGACCCTCGTACACGGACAGTCACATAGCGCCCCTTGTCTCCTCCCATCACCCAGCAACAGCCATCCCCCCCCCCCCCCCCCAACGTGATCCCTCAAAACCAACTGCGATTGGTTGCAGCAGTCTTTTTCACAGCCACCAGTCTTTTTTATAAAGAGTGCCACTTGGAGTTTGTTGAATGCGCTGAGTGTGGTTCAAGCGGCGGCCGGGAGTTGGTGGGGAGTGGCGGCACGGTTAGACTCTTGTTACGACGTCCGGTCGACCAGCCACGCGGCGTGTCAGTGAGACGAGATTTCACCGCTCTCATCGAGCACGTGGCAAATAACCAATAGAGGGGTCCATGCCAGGTAGCCATGGGCGCCCATGAAGACTAATATCTGAGGGGGCAAGCAATATACCCTGCCCCCTGTCCCTGCGAGCATGGGGTCTCTGCCACACCAGCAGTGTGGGGCTCATCGTGATGTGCTGCTCACAAGTGCAATTTTTATGCAAGCGACTTGTTAATGCGGTCAAATGAACCTTATGGCAGGACCTCGGGGTGCCGAATAAACGGAAGTAAAAATCATAAGTAAAAAAATACGTATAATTGCGACTCCATCCCACCGCGCACAAATGTCACAACCCACCTGGCGCGGGTTATTCTGTTGTGATGTTGTACAAGCGCAGCGAGGACGCATGCGCAGAAGAAACTAAACTTTGAAACTTTGATTAGCGCATTGTGTCGAGCTCGTCAAGAGGAAGAGATTGCCATATTGTTCGCCTTCAACAGCAACAACAAAAAATCTCCCAAGGTGCCCGCACTTGGTCTCTCGCCCCTCTCTAGTGCGGACTCTTCGTGCACAGCAATTGAGCGGCGAGGGGGCATTAGCGCATGGAGAAGGTGCGACAAACTGAACGGAGGTAAATTACTGGAACAGCAATGGCACTGCGCTCAGGTTATCTCAGCCTTAAAGGAGTACCCATTGTGATGTGGAAATACCAGCACTGGGGAGACAAAGGCGGCCACACAACCTCTCGTGCTGTGTGGGCGTTCAAAGGTGCACACTAACAGGACTTGCACTAACAATCTGTTCAAGGCTACACGGGAGTTTTTGTCACCGCGACCGCCTGCTTAGCTCGGCACGTTTAGTAGTGCAGCACATGAACCGCTCTGCCACCGCTCGCCTATAATGAAGATAATCGATTATAATTGCATGGAACATAATGTTGTTTCTGCTGCTTGGAGTTGTTCGTGATTCATCGTAATGGGTGTGGCCAGCGTTAGAGAAAATAATTACATTAATTGTTTACAGCTTCAATTATTGTCGCTTCAATGCTTAGCGATATATAATGTGCCGTCATCTCTATTACAAGTGGTAACTGTGAAGGGGCATTGATGCTGTAGTGGATGGGACACGTGCATAGAATGGAGGAAAATAGGGTAAGCAACTTGAAGGTTGGGAATAGCACATGGCAGGAAAGTGTTGTGGGAAGGATCATGAGGAGGTTGAGATGGGCGGGACACGAGTGGAAGACGAGGGCAATTTACCAAGCCGGGCATTGGAGTGGCACCCAGAAGTTGGGCGATCATGAAGCAATCATCCTCACTGACCTGCTTCCGCTCGTCCCCTACAACCCGTCTCTT